AAAAGTGCAGGCAACTTGCCGAGAGTCGTATCAGTGAACAGCAGAGCCAGTATTCAGACAGTAGTCGTAGGGGAAGAAAAGAAATTGGACATTTCAAAAGTACTTAGTAGAAATAATCCACAGAAATAGATAGGAAGTCTTTTATAAAGAGACAATATAATGTCACCATTGTGTACTCTAAGAAAATCTCTTTGAGTATGTTAATTATTCTCAGCAAATGCTTGTTTTTATTATAGGAACTCAGTATTTCAGTGCAATTCTTTCTGGGACTAGAAAGAGACAGGACAAGTCACATTGCTAGTTCTCTGAATAAAACCTGAGGTGAGAGCTGAATTTATCTGTGATGTTAAAAAAAAAAAAAAAAAAGGAAGAAGCAAACATGCAAATAAAGACAACATATTTTAAAACAGAAGAAAACAGAGTCGCATTGGTGTTTGGGTTTATTATTTTTCTAGTAGATGTGTTATGGTCTATATGGATATGACTCTGGTGTGCAATTTTATGCACTCACTGAGATCTTTATTTCGCGTATTATAAAAAAATGGACTTGACATATAGGTTTTGGGTAAGTCTCATGAATGCAAATGTTAGTTATCATGTCTGCATGTCCAAATATCTTTAAGGGCTGACTTTAATGGGTTTTCAATGTCTTTTTATTTTCCTTAGGGTAATTTTATTTGTTAAAATATAAATGAAAGTGACTATCACTTATTTCCATGCCTTGATTGATTGAGGTAAAAAGAATAAAGTAACTATTCCCGGTAATAAAATCTCTAAGTGTATCCTGAGTTCTCTCTCTCTCAATCAAGGTTGATTGCAAATGTGGACCAGATTAGTTTTATCTTCTTCAAAAGCACTTCATTGATTATATAATATGATCACTTCCATGTTATATTTTTAGCTTTTCTCAGAAAAACAAACTTCCAAGAAAGAGCATTAGAAATCTACTGTAGAATGACATTAAGAGACGTGTCCTCCTTAACGTAGTTGCCTTGAAAAGTGCATGAAAGACAGTTTACTTTTAGACTGGGCGCAGTGACTCAACGTCTGTAATCCCAGCACTTTGGGAGGCCAAGGCAGGCGGATCACTTGAGGTCAGGAGTTCGAGACCAGCCTGGCCAACAT